GTGGGTCTGGGGCCTGGCTGACCCATCCCTCCAGTGTCACAGCAGGTGCATTCATTGTCTGGCCACAGGTCCAGCCTGCTGTGAGTACCTGCCCTGGGGCACACTGAGGCCTCGGAGGGGGGATGTCTGAACTCACAATTGGGCAAGGTGACAAATATGGGGACCCAAATAACTTAAAAAGCTCCTCCACCTGCTATGCCCCAAGTTGGAAAAATAATGTTTCCCTTCCTAAGTTTCGTTTTCATTTGCTCTCTTTGGGCCTTATTTCACTCACAGGAGGGAGCGAGTGTATCTGGTGTGTATATTGCTCTTGACAGTTTATAAAATATTTTCTTTCGCAGCAAGCTTGGGTGCCAGGGAAGGCCTATCTTACCCTTATTGTCGAGATAAGAAAGCTGAGGCTGAGAGGGTAGGCACCTCGCCTGTGAACGTGATGTTGGGAGCTCATGAGCCCAAACCTAGTGGGACTGAGGAGCAAGAGCAGAATCAAAATCACAGCTGTGGCCTGGTCCTGGGCTGGCACATTGCCCCAGCACATGCCTCAGACAAGCCGGAGAGGCTGCTACCGCCTTGCTTTTGCTCTCCTGTCCAACCATTTGGTTTCTCTCCGTTTCCCCACCCAAGTGCTCTCTCCAACCCCAGGGCTTTTGCATGCGCTGTTCCCTCCACCCAGAAGACCCTGTTCTCTTAGCAAACTTGCCGTCAACCTTCAGGTCTCAGCTCCTTGGTTCATTGATTCATCCCGCAGACGCCCAGGGACAATCACACATGCCTTATGCTGTGCCAGGTGCCAGGAATCCAACATAAACACAGCAGATCCCTGTGTGCCAAGGTCAAGTAAGGAATAAAGCACAGATGGTCGGGGAGGCAGCAACTCTGGGAGGTGGGAAGGGCCACGAAGAGGGGACTGTCAAGGAAGACCAGGCAGGAGGCCAGCAGGTACAAAGGCCCTGAGGCAGGAAACAGCCTGGCTATTGGGGGAACTGAAAGGTGGAGGGGGAGGAGGCAGAGTGATGTGGCCGTTGCCATGAGGGCAGCACACGAGGAGGTTGGGAGAGAGGCAGGCTCTCACGTGGGCCCAGGTAAGGACTTGGAGTTTAAACTGAGCTTTACACAGAGAGTTTCTGACTTCTGTTCCTAAGGTCTCTGGGCTGCTGTGTTAGGAGCAGACCATAGGATAGACACAGGGAGTCCACCAGAAGTGGGGGGCTTCCAGAAGGGTCTAGGGAACGATCAATGATAGAGCAGAAGCCTTGGTTTCTCTGTGTTCTGGGGATAAATCAGCCTACAGATGGTTGGAAGGGGGAATAAGAGAAAGACCCTAGCAAAGGGCCCTTCACTGAGAAGGAGGGAGGATGGAAGGGTGAAAAAGGAATGTTTTGTGGGGAAGGAGCCGGAAGTTCAGTTTTGCACACAGGGAGTCTGAGGATGAGAGCAGGCTACAGGCCTTGGGGAGCAGATGCTCAGAAGAGACAAGGGGCTGGAGGTGCAGCCTTGGGATCATGAGCTCAAAGAGGGTTTTTGAATGCGTGGAACTGATGCGAAAACCCATAGAGAGGTGTAGATTAAGGAAGGGGGAGGCAGTGAGGAGACTGAGAAGGAGGACTAGTGAGCTGTGTGGGATCCAGAAATGGGGACCTGGTGAGGAACAAGGAGCCGGGGGTGCTGAGTGCACCCAGGAGGCCAGGAAGGACCACTGCATAGGGTCAAGTGGCTAGTGTAGTGCCTCTGACCTTGGCCTTGATGAAGAGGTGAGGCTAGGGGGGGCATGAGGGGGAGGAGGTGGAGACCAGGAGTGGAGACAGTGGAGGGGGCAGGCAGAGAAATGAGGCCACAGCTGCAGGGCGTGGAATGCGGGGTTCGAAGGAGGGTTTGTTCTAAACAACAGGGTACATGAGAGGGCATTTGAGGGCAGACAGGCAGACAGGAGGGAGAGCCTGTGGCCTTGGCTGGGAGGAGGGACCTTGGTGGCCAGTGACCTGAAGGAGGACGAGGTGTGGGAAGGTGTGTGTGTGGGTTCCTGGCTTTGGAGAGGAGGCAGCATCTGATGGCTGGATGGCCTGGAGGATGAGCAGGGTAGGCTTGGGAGCGAGAGAAGGGGGAGGAAGGACCCACTTCCCAAGCAGCAGATGGAGTAGCCACCTGGGGGAGGTGAAGAATTTAGAGGAAGCCTCTGCCTGGTTGTGAGATTTTCTCTAGTGATTTGCTGCTCTGGGGCAGACCAGAGACATTAGGGTTGCCTCCTCCAGGAAGCTGTCTCGGCCTCCCCTCTGCTCAGTTAGACCCCTGGTGCCTCCCAGGCTTGATGCATGGTGAGGGTGAGTGTTAATTGACTGGTCTATTCAAACCACCAGGGGGAGGCACAGCCCATGGAGCCCGGCCTGTCCTATGCTTGGTGGTACCGTCTGCCGGCAGCTGAGTGCTTGGTTCTGTGCCCAGCTAGGCCTATTCTGCTTCTCATTTAATGTGAGAGAGTTTTCCGTATCCCTGTTTTATAGGAGACAAGCAAGGCTTGGAGAAGCACTTCAGTTCCTTCAAATGCCAGCACCACCCCGCATCCCCTCAACACACAAAGAGAGGAGCGTTCAAGTCCGAGCCCTTGGCCTGTTTCTCAGATCATGGGGAGGGCAGACCCTTGAGGTGGGGAGGGGTGATTTTTAATCTCTATCTGGTGGAAGCATTTTAAATCTGATTCAGGTGCCCCTGGCCCTGCCCCCTCTCAGGGTCACTCTCCTCTGTGCCTGACCCCATGCCCTGCACCCTGGATTTCAGCCAACATACTGTTCCAGCTGGTGGAACACCCTTCCCTGCCCAGCTACTTCTCATTCCTCTTCCCAGTCTCAGCCAAGCCCCTGGGACTGGGGTTCCTGTTACTGCCTCTCCCAGCCCCTGAAGGTCCCTTCCATAGCCCTTCCTGAAGTTTGGATTGCTTGCTTGAGTGTGAGTTTGCCTCCCCTGCTAGTTTGTAAGTTCACAAGGGCAAGGACCACGTCTGCCTTGTTAGGGATTGTATCTCCGGCACCAAAAGCAGGACCTGCACGTGGTAGGTGTTTATGCAGCGGGTGGGGAAGTGGCTGCTGGAGAGTGTGGTTCTGCTTTGAGCAGGAGTTGAAGCAGATTCAGGGTGGAACAAGCCTCCTATAATAATTCACCATTGTGTGGAGCCAGAGTGTGAATGGGGCCCTTTCCAGGCTCCTCACACATCCTTAGGAGCAGAGGCTTGGATGCACTGACTTTGGCAAGACAACAGGGGACCCACCTGTTTCTTGAATACCTGCCCCTCGCAGCCTTTCCACAGAAGCCTCCAGCAGGCTAACCCTACCTCTCCCGCCACCCCCTCAAATTGCCCTCCCACCTCTGCACGACTTCTGATGCTTTTTGAGTATCTTGTCTGTGGTCTTTGTGTTGGTTGTCCCCTCTCCTAGTGATCACTGGGGGCTGCTCTTTCTCGGGAGTGTGTGGTGGAGGGGGCAAGGCTGGGCTGAGAGCCTGGCTGTGCACCTGGCCTCAGGCCGGCAGGGGGAGCCCACGAGCCACGAGCCTCGACCGTGGCTTAGGAGAGTTGCCTCTAAGCCGGTCGTGCTCCCTACCTGGTGCCACCAGGGGCCCCAGCAAGGGAACCAGCCTGGGTGGACCCAGAGTCTGTGAGCAGATGAGAGGCCAGGCTTCCCACTTACCAACTGCAGGACCATGAGTAGCCTCCTAACCTCCCTGAACCTGTTTCCTCATCTGTAAAATGGGGACAGTTCCAGCTGCTCCC